GCCAGTAGTGCTTTAACAGACAAAAACACACACAATCAAGTCAAAATGCCGGCTTTTGGCGAGTGACCTCGTAAACACAGTCTTAAATAAGTTATAAAGTCCTAAATGACCATAAAGAGTTGGAAGAAAACCAGAAGTGAAACCTGATGAAGTCTCGTCATTGATGGAAATCAAAGAACAAAAGAAAAAGAGAAATCCTTCCACTGCTCTAGTCGTTTATTAACTTTTGTAGTTTGAATAAAGATTAATTTATATTCATTTTATAGTTTATACATATACAATTTATAGTTTATGTTATGATTATTTTAAGTACACTTTAATTCAAAGTTACCATGTTTTTCTGAGTCTATTAAGTGTTAAAAATAATGGCTTTCTATTATACTGTAATGTAGAATGGCTATAATTAATGGCTAAAAGTGAGGGAAAATGCATTTAATAGAGATACCAGTAACATTATTGGTATCAATGATACTGGCCTTCATTAATAGTAGGCTACAAAAAGATGCCATTAAACACATATTTAAAATATACCATCTTTATGTTGTTTCTGCATTAATTAAGAGGTTCAGTGTGAAATTATGATAATATAAATATATGAATATGCGATTAATCACGATTAATTACAGAAAACGTGCGATTAATTCGTTATTTTCTTAATCTATTGACAGCACTAATGTTAACCTTTTATAGATGGTATTGTTGGTAATATTAGTTCATTTTACAGCTGAATATGCTTTTCAATTTAATTTCTAATTTTGTAGGCCACTTCAAATTTTTAATTCGATAATCTGGCCCTCAAATGAAGCTAATTGAATAGCCCTGCCCTATATGGTTCAATTGGTTTGGTAAAAAGAACAAAAAAGAAATAAGATGCATTTCTTATTTCAAGATTATTTGTTCTTCAGACATTCCTCTATAAATAAGTATCAGCTGTAATGTGAAAATGTGTAAGTTCAACAATTTACTCAGAGACAAATTGTGATCCCCATATTGCTGGGATTGAACCATATAGGACTTTAAAATGAGGATTAAAAAACAGAATCTAAAATCTTATTGAGATATCTTTAATACTTCTTGAGATACAGGCACACAATCTTTGAAAAAATAATATTTTTGGCATTCAGACAGGTTTGTATTGAATCATATCTTCATATAACTCAACATATGAGTTGAACATTATATCTTCTTTAGAAATTTATCTTTAGAATAAAAAGTTATGCAAACTGAAAATGTAACAATTTGATATCTCCATATCTGGAATTGCACCATATATGGCCTCAAAAAGAAGTTTGAAGAAGTTTGTTAAGAACCATTAACATTTAATAAGAACCATTAAAAACCACTTAAAAAGTTATTGAGATATATGTAATACTTATTCAGATACAGGAGTTCAGAATGAAAATGTGCTTTTCCCCATTCTTGAACTGTCACAATGCAACAAGTATTGCTGAAGTCAACAGATTGCACTAATAGAATTACCAATCACTGTATAAAAATAAAATAGTGATGGTGCCATCTTTCCAGTCTTTTTTTCACTCTGTAATTTGGTTGATTTGACACAAAAAAATAAAACTATACTAAGGTCACGGGTTTGCACTGGATTTGTTTCAGTGTTGTGTAGGCGGTCACTGTGATTGACACGACCAATTAAATCTTTAGAATCTGTGGTGGGCGGAGTTTGTGCTTTAACTGTGTTTAAAAGGTGAGGAATATTCACATGATCCTACAGGACTGGTGCAGACTCCAGGTGCAGCAGCTGAAATCTGACACATACTATGGTAAAGATGGAGTTTGTTAAAGAGGAGATTGATGACACGAGTGTTTCAGAACCATCCAGAATAAAACACGAAGATACTGAGGAACAAACAGGTTGGTGTCCTTTCTTGATTCTTCATTGTTGACTGCTGAGAAACATTAAAGCTTCTGTTAAAAATATTTAGTGGCTCTGAAATAATGAGCAATGATAAATTATCATCTAACTGATCATATCCACATTTTAATTTTATTAACAAGGAATGACAGAACTAACCTTTGACACATCAAAGATCTGATACTTCATACTCAGATAAATATGTGACCTTTTTTGGTTTCTGCTATTTAATCAGGTTCACTTGAACTGATTTTAACAACATCATTTGTTTATTTTAGACTGGATGGAAGTACAACAGCAAAGACATGAGGTGAATGAAGTGGAGGAGGAACGTTGTAAAATCAAAACTTCTAGAAAAAAAAACAAACAGCTTCACA